GGTCAGTGAGTCTCATATCCTTATCCTTCCGTGGTCCTGTTCAACACTTAACATATAAGTGCCAGTGTAATCCTTCAGTCAAAGACCAACTGAATCGGGAGTACACTACAGTCTTTTTCCAAGTGGGGTCTCACTGCCAGTCTAGACTGTGAACGAATAGTTTAGTCTTATAAGGAACCGATAGGTGATCTTTCCGTTCGAAACTCTTCGAACCACACTATCTCAATATAAGACATGGAGTATGTATTGCATAAATAAATAAACTGCAAACATATGTACTTTGACCGAAACATGATTGCCAGATCAAAATGGAATTGATAGAAACTGCAAAACACAGCTTTTACAGCATACCTCTAACACTGGACAACAAACCATGTTCAACCATAAGAAAAAAAAATCTAATTTATAACCATAACAATAACAAACATAAAAAAAGGACCAGTTTTTATCAATTTCAAACATGAATCTTTTCAAAGTGAAAGAGTATACTTTAACAATTTTAAAAGGTTTAGTGGGACCATATTAAGAATTATTGCATATATCTACTTTTTTGCCAAATTTATATTAACTAAAATCAACTTCGTCAACTATGGGACCACATTATATTGAAAATACAAGATTTTGACTTTGAGAAATAGGAACTCAATATATTAAATTAACAGATAACATAAAATGATGCTAGTTCACCTTGTATACTTTGCCTATCTGAGCATCTCCAATTGAATTTCACACTGTCGTGTTATCTTTTGACCTTTTTTTTTGTAATGACGTCCATCTTCTTGGATTCCATCCTTCCTTTTTTGCTCATCCTCATGTTCATCACTCAATTTATTTTCAAAATCATCTACTGCAGTGTGTGTTTCATCCTCACCATGATAATTTGGATCTCGCGCTTCCGCATGCGGGATCTTTCCTTTTTGAGGCCTCCGAGCATCTTTGTGATGACATTCGCCATGGTCCGACTGAAAGTCGTCAGAATCTGGGTTGGCGCTCTGCCTAATGTGTCGAGATTTGCCGAGTTCCTTGCTTGTTCCAGTTGGCTTCATGTTCTTTTTGAAATCGAGCTTTTCTGGATGAGTGTACTTTTATCTTTGGCCACGATTTGTTTGACACGAGTACTCGATCGCCTATGTGCATCAACACCGGCAACGCGACTTGGGGGTCGCCTGCTATAGGAGGGATTTTGGTTTTGGCCATGAAAATGGAACCTAGGGTTTACTGATAAGGCAGCTGTGTTGTGTGGGTTGTGGGTTTGGGTGTGTGAGAGAGATGAGCATGGATAATGCGAGAAAATGGGGGTTAGTTTTGATTTAATTTGGTAACTTATCCTCCAAAATCTGTGTTAATTGAATAAAATATATTATTATTCCTACACTTAATGTGCCGTATAATTGCATTAAAATTACAGGATTTTGTATTTTTGCTAAAGTTTATTAGTGAAGTGTAAAATTGCAAATAAATAATTGTGGACTCGTGCCCAAGTAATTTCCTATTTTCTCGCATGAATGCTTTACGCAAGGATAAATGGGCTTCACTGGTCCATATCTAAAACGAGCAAGCCCAATTTTAAATAAACAACGGAACACCCGGATAATAGCACTCGACGTCTCGAATTAGTGTGTCTACCGCACTTGCTTCACAAAACTCACCCATACAGAATTTTTCCATTTTTTGTTACTCATTTTTTTCGTTCTCATTTTTCTGGTGCGTTCGTGATTCTTCTCCTCTCCCACTCAGGTAAGTCTCTCTTCTTTTCTGTAATTTTATTTATTTGTTTCTGTTAGTCGTAAATTTTTAGGGTTTTCATTT